GACAAAATATATTTAATGCCCTTGTTGAGGAGTGTGGAGACATTAGTTGATCTGTGTGCAGTTGAAGGATTCTTCAGTTTGTGAGCATTGAGTGTCGTAAGCTTGAAAGAAGTGCTCTTCAGCATGTTGAAGACCCCTTCGTCGTCAGTAGAGAACAAAAGAATTGAAGCTGAAGTAACATGTAGTATAAAAGTGTAACAGTATATCTGTATGCAAAACGAAGACATGAAGAGGACTACACTTAACACGAACTAAACTCAAACTAAGTGCCCTGCTGCCAACATGTCAGTCGTACATGGACCTTGGGAAAGGAGATGCATCGATGTCAAACAGCGAATGGCGACCATTCACGGCACTAACAAAAACGCCAGACAGCAAATGAAGTGGCATATTTGATCATGGAATTTACAAAAAACAAACGACTGCCATGACCCTTAAATAAAACCATGTCAATATGGATGACGGAGGCTATTGCTGAATACCAGAGAAGATGAAGCCAAAACCAGTGAAGAGGAATTTCTGTTCCTGAAGGACGTTACTAACCACCATCAGAGCTAAATGACAAAGTGCACCTGCTTTTATTTAGATCAGTTATTAATATTTCTGACTCCATTGTTTATGCACATGAAATTATCAATTATGTCTTTTATTAAGCTCCAAATTGGTTAACGTTAGACTTTAAGGCCCAAAAAGTTAAAATCCAAGACAAAGAATGAGTTTTGACCAGTAGAGCACGTCAGTCGCCATGTGAAGGAATTTTAATCTTCACGCTTTCATCAGACGCGTACCTACACGTACACATGCATTATAAAGCCGGAGAAATGCCCCATTTGCGTGTTTCACCAAAGTGGAATTGGAAGCGGATGTCATTTGTATGCATTGTGCAAAGTGAATTAATTTATGCCACAAGGATTGGATCAACAGAATCTGCACCACCTGAAGTGTGAAACCTCGTGGATGTTGGTGCAAAGTCTTATTCAGAACTGACAGAAGGAAGAGGAGCCACAATACTTTTACTCATATAGTGCGTCTAAGTACTGGAGTTTTCTTTTTTCCCTGCAGTCAAGAGAACTTCAAGGACGCATTCACTAACCCTGTCAACTATTTTGATGAAATGAGCCGAATCTGCGACTATAGATCTACTTTATGACCACCTCCGTTTTAATCACGTCAGCAATGGCTGCAGTGAAACAGGCCTTGATGTGTAATTTTTTTACGGCTGGAAAAAGATGAGAAAGTGCCAGAGAACCCAAAGGAAGACGCTACATCAAAGGAGACCCAAACTTAAAAGAATGGATTTAAAATAGACAAGAACAAGGTGAAGCGAGAGATTGCAAGAGCTCAGAATTCCAGCTTGATACTATGAGGGGACCTAAGTGAGATCAGTTTGGTCTTTGCAGTCTGAACAATGCCACCAGGTTATATTATCGGTGTGAATGCTTTTGGGCTGGACCGACAGGTCAGCGTGTGCTGTGGTCAGTTGTCTGTCTAATCTGGCGTGTGACCTAAATGTATACGTGTGTGTCATCAGCCTGAATCAGCATATTCAGTAGCCACTTTATAAGGCTAATGGAACCAAAGCCAAGTAGTCTCTAACCCAAACCTGCACGCCAACCAGAAGACTTCAGATGTGATCACAAAAGATGTTCTTGGCAGTAACTTAAAACTACGACGTGAAGAGGAAACGAGAGCTGCTCTTTATGAAAATCGTGCCCAGCACACACAAGTCGACGAAGAATAGGAGATCTAAAGGAAAAGTCTCCCTTGTGGGCACTGCTGATCTTTTCGTAAGTTGCCATGGACTTGTTTGTGGGCAGACGAACACCGGATCATCTCTTAAAACCACTGCACAGCTCTAGAGAAGAAGCTGTCAGCTGACATGCTCACCAGCCTGGACTTGTTCAGCCATTTGCTTCAGAACGACAGATGTCTCCAACACTTAGATCTCCAGCTGCTTTATGATGTACATCTGGTGAAACCATTGGGATGATGAAAATGAACGAGTGACCAGGAATGACCTGATGACAAAACCTGAAGTTCAGTCTGACTGTGAAAACAACACATTGTCCTCCTGTGGTTCTGAGAGAGGGATGATAGAAGATTTGATGTGACCTAGACCGATATCTAAAAGTTGTCTCCAAGATTTGCCCGCTCTAACAATCGGCGAGTAAACGAAGAGAGCTCAGATTGATTCAGGGTACAAAAATAGGAGTAAAGAAGCATGGACATTCCATGGTTTTTGTAAGTACCTATATGTGATGTGTGGCTTTATGATCATGTGTCTGCCTGCAAAACAGTGCTGTTCATTACTGGCTTAAATTGCATTACTCCTAAGAGTTGACAGGGTGATTTTTATGTTTCCTTTTAAACACTGCGATAACTTGACTGACTTGATGTTAATGTAGCCAGGCCACATTTAAGATGTTCATACACTGGCACAAGCCTCATATGAGGCTGCGATAGGAATGCCGATGTCATTAACAGTCTCCACTAATCTCTCCCCAGATCTTCTCCCATAGAGAAACGTGACCTTGTTGTTTTGTCCCATTGGCCGCCTGGGCCGAGCACCTCCTCCAAGGGCGGCTCACCTCTGAAAACTCGCAGCCCAAAACCAAAGAGTGGTAAGTCTATTCTCTTAGTGATCTCATGTACTGTAAGGCCAATATCTATTGTACACACGTTCTGTTTGGACATTTCATATCACTTTACATGCCTTTATTTTATTGTTTTATATATTTCTAAACTTCCAGGGTTTCTTATGTCTTCTCTGATTTTGTAGATCATGATTCAGATGGAGATACCACACCGAACAGCCGACTCTCAAAGACGAATGATTCCAGATCATCACCTGAAGACAGGAAACGGGGATATATGGATAAGAAGATGTTCAGGTACACATCATAGAATTATTTTGTACTGTCTGGAACAAGGTTCTGTTCATTTAGAAGTGCAGATTGTAGATTGTTCTGTTTCTGATTGTTTTGCAGGCCTTTTAATATGATGCAGGACAACCACAGACCTGGGAGGCCCTTCAGGAGACCTGGACCCGGACCCGGACCCGGACCCGGGCCGGGACACGGACCTGGACCCATGCAGGTGAGTGAAACATGTTCATGCATATGAAGACTGTGCAGAGCCTGTGGATCTGTATATGGTAATTAAAGCAGTTAATAAACTGTGGTAAAGAATGTGTGTGGGCCTCAAACACTGTAGCCGTATAATTACAGTTGAACTCTTTATTGTGATTAACAACAATGTACCGTACTCAGCCTTCACTGTTGTGTTTTACAGAGACCAAGGTTTATTGGTGGTCCAAGAAAGATGGGCCCTGAACTCTCTGGAAATGTTAGAAGACCACTCATGGTAAGCATTACCTCTTCCTGTACCATCACCTTGTTTCCCTGGAAAATGTTAATCGCTCATTACTAATATTTGAATTTCTTGTGTTTTTTAAGGAGAGCTTGGTGCCACGTCCCTTCCCAAATCAGAGGCCAGTGTTCAGAAAAAGTTTCAGTATCACGTCCAAATACCGCACCATGAGAGTGATGCGCCAGCGTCCACCGTACAACCGAGGACCCAATCAGCAGCGCTGGTGATAAGTTTTGGTAAGTTCCGTGAGTCATTTTTTCTTCAAATGGTTCAATGTTTAGCACAAGTAAGTATATTTGGTCTTTAGTATGTGTAGCTGAATTTGTCATGTAGTCAGATCTTTTTTACTTATCAAGATCTTCAAGAAATGTTGTATTCAGTGGAGTCTTTGTTTCTCGATCCCAGCACAGATCCCACATTCTGCAGACAAGAAACTGGACATAGTAGAAAAATCACTACTGGGTGGACTGCACCAAATCCTTCTCTGACTACAATCCCAACCTGCCTGTGTATTGTGGAAGTGTTGTTGATTACATTTGTTCTCTTGTACATGTGTTTATACACATCTTTGAAGTACTGCGGTACTTTTGTTTTAGAATATTTGTAACATATGCCATTGCAATATATTGACCTGCTTTTCTTTTTTTCTGTGTATAATTTGGGATTTGCTGCTCCTGGCGTTGGCAGTCTTTATTTTATAGGAATAGTTTTAGCTTTTTTTTTGTTTTTTTGTAAAGTCTAAAAAATGTTTACTTTAATATGATACCTTTTTATTTGTAAAGACTTATCACATGAGATATTTGATTAATCATGGGTGTTTTTGATTAGGAAACGCTGCTTGTCGAAAGACACTTAGCTACTACTTGTAAAACTTGTATAATCACATATTAAGTTTGTTGTTTGAGACTTGAAATAAAAATGAATTTAACAAGCTCTTGATACACTTTTTGTCCAAATCTACAATCAAAGCAAAGGACACTTCATTAATAATGCTATTTTTAAGAATCAAACCTATGATGCAGGGTTTCATAGGGCTTTATCTTGCCTGCTAACCAGTGTCTGTGTCCCCAAATTTAGTCTTAATATAATTAGACTGAGTCTTTCTTGATTTACTGTATTAATTACTCTTAAATAGTTAAATGAGAGGTGACGTCAGGTTGTTACATTAGTGTTGTACTCATCAATCCATTAAGTTGCAGGACTCAAGAGACATATTTTGAAAATTAATGGTCTTTATTAAAGCAGCAGTCTCCAAAAACACTGGATCCTACATTTCACATAATGCAACTTAGTAGCATATTTAATTAACCCCACCAGTTTCCTAAATACCAATTTCTTCAAAACCCACAACCCAATTGTTTTGAAACTCCCCCCAGAGCCACAGAAGACATTATACAACTGATTTCACAGACTAATAAAAATCAATGGAGTGGCCCTTTAAGTACTAAAACACTGTTTTAGTACTTAAGTACTTAAGAGTGCTTGAGGTGAAATAAAAATCACTCTTCTGCCCGGTTTAAACATCAGTTCTTGTATAACTGCACTCAAGTTTGTCCCTTTAAATGCAACTCTCGCCCTTCAGCCTGTGACGCCCTTCCCTCTGCCCCGGTGATATTTGTGAGCCCGGTGGAGCTCCACTCGGTCCTGTGCTAAACTTAGCCCTGACAGTACCACTCCTCATCACAACATACTCTGCAGACCACACTGGGTTACAATGGATGGTGTCGTGTTACCGCAGATGCTGCTGTATCTCACCAGTGCCGCCGGCCAAACAAGGTGAGTGTGAGCACCAGATCCTCGACCGTTACTGGCAATTATCTGGTAATCTGTTTACTGTGTTTACTAATGACTATAATCTGTCTCTGTCATCCTGTCTGTGCATTGGTTCCAGCATGTGTTGCACATTTGTTCACTGCTGTGGCATGAGAGACACAGCTGCCCCTACTGTACCACCCGAGTTTAGCTCCCCCCCCTACTTTGACAAAGAACTATCTGAGTTTAATGTACAAACTGAAGTTGCTTTATATATTGTGACAAACAGAGATAATAGTTGATGTGATGTGGTGTGAGACTGCACTGAGCTGACCGGTTTCTGTTGATTTCTTCTCCACTGACTTGCTCCAATCTGTCATTTGTAGATGTAGACTTAAAGACTGCAGGTTTTTCTGTCTTTCACTCTCTACACTTGTATCCCTCTCTGTCGTGATGGGCAGCTATAGCTCAGCCCTCGTTCCTGGTAAGCCTCGCCAACTATTGTTGTTACATCTGCTGCAACATCATTTGAAATACTACCACGGTTGAATGCTGCATGTTCAAAAGGCTGAATGTTAATGCAGGCTTTGGAATCACAAATATGCAGGCTTGTTACTGTGAAAATGTCCCACAATCTCTACAGTGATGGGGTTCAAGTGGTTCTGGGTTTTAACATTTATTCTGTTTCTCTTAAAGAGACTGAAGAGTTTGATTCAATTGTGTCAATCGCGGAGAAGCTGAATGAGCAGGTAGCTCATGTTGCAGATGAGAGGTTACAGTCAGAGCTTCAGAATCTGGGAAGTATACACTTTTAATAATAGTTATCTAGAATAAAATATAGCACTCACTGTTTGAACAAGAGTGTGTGTGGTCTGTTCTGCTTGTGTCCCATTTGTCCTTGGGATAAATTTAACTTTCCTAAGCTGTCTCATACACACACAGCCACGTACAGCAGTGAAAGATATCTCTTTTAACGCCTTACTTTAAAGGTTAAAAGGTACTTGACCTGTAATAAATATGAGCTATATTTTCTGAATTTTATTCACCTATAAGGCCATATTGAAGATTTTCTCTGGGGAAACCAAAAAACAGCTTCTTATATACTTGCACTGGGTGAAGTAAATGTATTTTACTTATCAGATGTCTCAAACTAGACTTAACTTACAGGTTACACTCATGATGGAGGAGGAAAGAAAAGAAAACCACAGGGAAGAGCTGGATTCTTCAACACTTCAAGAAAACTCTCAGGCAGCAAGTCAAGCACCCAAACGTCTGCCCGCACAGTCCTTCTCCTCTCTGTTACCGAAGGCCCTCTCTGCTGTGCTGCAGCCGGCGCTGAAGCAAGGTCCGAACTCCGGCCCTGGGCCAAGCACAGAATCAGGGAAACACGCTCCACCAAACCTGGAACAACTGCAGACAGAGCTGAGAGACCTGAGGGACCAGTTTGATCAGATGAAGAGTCAGCACAAGTATGGGCTTTGTTAATCTCTGTTCATATATTGTGTTCCTGGCTGACATTCCCATCTCTGCCTATGTTGTAGTATCAATCAGGAGGTATTTTGCTGCACTGATCTGACAATGCATTGTGTTCCAGCAAAGAAATTAAACTGCTGATGAATGAGCTCGATGAGGAGAAAAGGATTCGCCTGACTTTACAGGTGCGGCATGAAGAAAAATAAAAATATTAAAAGTATCTGCTAGAACATACCAAAGAATGTTATTTTGTTCTTCCTAATAGTACAATACATAATAGTAATAATAATTGTTATTTTTAAACTGGGCAGAATTACTTTAAGGTGAGAATATTAGACTCAATATCTTACAACTGCACTGCATGATTAGATTTTTTTGTTTTGTTTAAGATGGAGATTCAACGTATGAAGAAGCACATGTCTAAATGAGAGGACTTCATCATCTTCAAAGACGAGATATCCCGATTTGACCAGACGTAAAGGTCCTGTTGTACACTTACCAGATAAATGATATTTTTCTAAGTTTTAACAAAAAACATCCTTGCTTCTTTTTGATGAAAAGTTATTCTATTTTTGTTGTTGGACTGCCGACTGCGTCATTGCTGACAGTGTAAAAGTGAAGCACAGTGGGAGCAGACATGTAAAGACACTGTTGACGTGACAGAGGAGTATCTGTTAACCAGTTATACATCCAGTTTTGTTTTATTTATTTCTGTAGATGGACTCTGACATCTTTAGCATCCTCTGGTGGTGGAAATGTTTTATAAAGTGTCTTGAGATTTCCAAGAAGAGGAAAATTTGTTTTCTGTTTCCTGTGGGAACCCAGATTTATAAAGAATGTTAGAGAGTTCATCGTTGTTTAATTGAATTTTAATAATTGCTCCATTATCCAGTGGATCCATCTGACATATACACACACACACATATATAATAATGTGAATGTTGATGACACAAAAACTTGACAGACTAAGCTGTCAGTGAATTCATCGGTTGTTGATGTGTAGAAGCTTTGTGAACTCATTAAAGATGTCGTCCATTATTGACTTGAAATTTTATTCATAATAAAGATGAATTCATATACAAAAATAAATATAGTTATTAGTAATGTCATATACATATATATATATTTTAAAAAGAATCCATGTGTAATTGAGAAAGTGTCAAGAGAGTGCAGTACTTTATATGGAAACATATATATAAACAATTATCTAAATTCTAATTTTGTGCTGGAATATCTTTAAATCATTAGTGTTTCTCAGTCTTACTAAATCTGGACTAACAGAGTAGACAAGCAGAAAAAAATGTCCACTATTCTTTTGAAACCAACCTCAGTTTTGTTGTTGCAGTAAGTTTGTTACTGAGTTAACGTGTCCTCATAAGTCATTTGAGATTAATTCAAATGCATGAAATAATATGCATCTCCCTACCAGTGAAATGCATTTAGATTCCCTTTACAGGCAAAAGTTTTCATAAAAAAACACACATATTTTCTCTTAAAGGTCCAGTGTGTAACATTTAGGAGGATCTATTTGTAGAAATGGAATATAATATTCATAGCTATGTTCTCATTAGTGTATAATCACCTAAAAATAAGAATAGTTGTGTTTTTTTTTACCTTAGAATGAGACTCCTACACCCTTAGAAGGGGAGGGTGAGGCGAGTTGTTTGCTATCTGCAGTTAAACCACTAGATGCCAATAAATCCTACACACTGGTCCTATAAACACACACATACATAATAATATATCACATTAGATTTTCAAATCACAAATGATCTCATCGCTGCCAGGCTTATATCTTTGATATGCTATTGTCCTCATTGTTTTCCTGTTCACTCCTGGAACTGGACTGAAGAGTCAGCTGAATCTTTTCCAGCACGAGCAGTGGATTTTTCTTGTTTTTGACGTGGGGTCAGGTTTAGTCTCAGAAGTTGGATTCCTCACAGGGAAGGGGCCTGAAGGTGACCTCTTTGTTTACTTCAAGAAGGATATCATATCGACAGAGAGGCCTGTGAAGGACAAAGTCAAATATTACTATAAATCTAGAGCTGATAGATCAAATTTCAGAAAAATATCGCACATCAGTGTTTGTTGCATACCTCTTTGTGCCTTCCAGATGTGTAAGACGGATTCGTAGAACACGGAGCTTATATCTGGGCTTGAATACATTCTCGATGGAGTATTTGAGAGACACTTTTTCCACTGACTGTATGTCTTTATCAAACTGGGCCAACAACTTCGTCTCTGTGTACTTCTTGAACTCTACAGCTTTACTGATGTGAAACAACAACAACAACACGTTACTGAGAGAAAGCAGCAACAGACGAACAAAGAGAAGCCATGGTAGAATATTTGCTACAGAACTTATGATGAATAAAGTGGAGACTTACTGGTTGATGGTTGCCACTGCTTCTTCACCCTTACTATGAAGTTTAACAGTAATGTATCCCCAGCGCACATCCTTGTTCCATATCATTACATTCATCCTGTAGTTTGTCACTGAGAAAGGACATTAAAAATGTTTATTCAAAAGTAATACGTCCACCTTTTTTAAATTAAATCAAAGTCCCTCTTAGAACTGAACTCAAACTCAAATTATCCTCAACATTTAAATACTGTCACGTGAAGTTGGAATTAATTTTGAATTTTGGTCTCATTTTACGCTCTTCATTCACATGTAACTGCAGGTGGTCATTTTCACAGTCATCCATCCTTTTCTTCATACAGTTCAAGAATTTGCAGCTTTCCAAATAGAAGACAAATCTTGACAAACACTCCACAGTTCATCTAAATCTGACAGGATGATGACAAATACATCTATATGCCACATTGAGGTTAAAGTTTTTATGTTGTTATATTAAGATTAATGATTATTATTGTGATTATTCTGTTACTTACTGCAGAATGGAGAGACTGCATTTGTGGTGAAGTACGCTTTTGTTTGGCCAAGCTTCAGCAGGACGTCTCTCCAGGCTATGACGTCATAACCTGGATTTGAGTGAAACAGCTGCGTCAGATCTACAACAACGACCACCACACTGAGTTCTTCCATTAACTGTATTGTCATTCTTTATTTAAAGGACCAGTGTGTAGGATTTAGCGGCATCTTTTAAAAAACTTGCGAAATGTATGTTTATTCTGGGCTACAGCAGAAAAACATGGCGGTTCAACATGGCGGCCTCCATAGAAGGCGACCCGTGGTGTTGGTAGATAAAAAACGACTCTATGTTCAGATTATTATATACTTATGAAAACATACCTGTAAGTATTGTATTCAATTTCTGCCAATAGATTCTCCTAAATGTTACACACTGGACCTTTAAAGACTAACTGAACATCAGCTTGAGACTGAAACAATTACTGAGATATAAAGTGAAGTACCAACCAAAGACAGGACATCCAGCTGCACCAAACCGGTCACAGTTCAAGCAGTTACCATCCAGAAACTCTTTGTAGGAGGAGCAGGGGAAGGCCTTGCTGACACACGTCCGATTCACAGAGTCAAGGAAGAGCAACACTGATCTCTGATGGTCGCATTTAAAATAGGCTCCTCCTGTGAAGGGGTAAGAAATAAAGGAGTGTAATCATACAGTACTGTTCTATTTCTGATAATATAAATCACCACATGAGATTATAAAATCTGTCTTTTTTTCCGACAAAGATTAACAGGCACTGTGGTCTCTTACCAGAAAGGATGGTCTTTGGGCAGCCAGGCTGGTCAGTTCCACCGTTAGCATAGAAATCAATGTGACCTAAAGGTTCTCTGAAGCCCAGGGCTGTGAACACAGTTGACACAGTTACACGTAGAAATCATAAACAATTTAAAACAATTATAAATGACTCCATGAGTATATAATATTGTGTTTCAGTTTAACTGACCATCTATGTCTGTGTGCAGAACATCCACAAACTGGGCGTCTGAGGGGTCCAGTCGGTCCTCTGGAGGAGTGCCAGTGAACTGAGGCCCAGCAGGGTCCAGAGCTAGAGACATCACATCAGTTCAGCAGTTGCAGCACATCAACATTAGCTGAAAAAGGCTTGGGTATTATAAAGGTATCACTTATCTTACTGCTTGACCTTTCTATGCCTTTTGTGTTTCCAAATTATACTGTATCTTGATTACTGTCAAACATCTGACGACAAACCAGTATTACTGTTTTCCTTTTTTTTAAAATTATTTTTAGTATTGTGATACCATTATGTCTGGTTTCATGTGACTGAACTCTTTGCTGTCGCACAAGCAAGCTCTACATTTGCTTTTGCTTTCTCTGTGTTTTTATAATTGCCACTCCTTTGCAGCAGTGCTGACCTGGATATCTGTGGTTCTGTACGTCACTGACACTGCAGGCACTGTGGAGAGGATTTTCTGCCTTCATCTTACTATCTCTCTGCAACGATTTCAGGTGGAATCATCAAAACTGTGCAGATTTTCTCATAGTGATAGCCCTATCTAGAGCTTGTGTTTGGTTTGTCCATTCTGGGCTACTGTAGAAACATGGTGGTTCAACATAGTGGACTCCACTCCGTCTGTAGATAAAAATGGTTCATTCTAAAGTAACGAAAATAAAACGATTCTTATTTTCAGGTGATTATACACTAATTTGACACATTTGATTATTTTTATTATTATTATTATTATTATTATTATTATTATTATTATTTTCTATTTATGCCAATAGATCCTTCTAAATATTAAAAACTGGACCTTTAAATTGACGAAAACATAAAAATGAAGTTTAAATTATCTTTATTTCATTATTATGCTGTTTGGCAATGAACTATGACAATTTCCACACCCAAACAAACAATGGCTCTCCTCTAGCTGAAGGAATTTGAATTTTAGTTCTGAGAGAATCATTTTATGAATCTAGACAGCAATATTCAGAATTATTTTATAAACTGGGACTTTTAGTCCAGATGTCAGACTTCTACAAACATTAAGACATGAACGTGATCTGAATTTGAATGTGCCAGCATATGCACAGTCTTACCTGTAATTCTTCCAATTAACCCATTCAGGTTGGCCCCTACAAAGCCTGATATGTGAGCCCCGAGACTAACTCCGATCATGTGGATGGAGCTCAGAGAGGCACCATGTTCCTGAAAAGATCAGCCATTAGTCAGTAATGACATTCGTATCTAGACACAACAGAGATGGTCACAGAGAGCATCAGATACATCTCATACCTGCATCTTTATAATAAAAGCAGTGAGGTTGGCAGCTGCCCTGTGTGTGTTCTCCAGTGCCTTAAAATAATTCACATTAGCAGCTCCGTTGTTCCAGTCCACTAGTATGAGATTCACATCTTTCCTGGCCAGCAGCAGCTCTGTGATATTTTGCAACCAGTTTGGTGGAGATCCCGTGGGCCGATAGCCATGAATGACAAAGGTTGTTGGTCTGGATAAGTTAAACTGGGGATTGGCGGACATGTTGGTGTGGGACATGAGTGTACCACAGGAGACATTATCCCTGGTGTACAGCAACAACCTAGTTTTGAGGCTGGTTCCAATTATTGCATGACTGAGATTTAGATCTGTAAATTCATCACATCCCTGGGCTGGGAGGAAGGCAGAATTTGGGGGTTGGGGAGGATGACAAAAAACAGAATACATGAGACATGACCATTTTGATCTGAACAAGCATTGTTGAAGAAAGATTACAAAACCTTTAGATATTTATCATCCAAAGTTTCTGCCATATGACTCAGTGTGGGTGCATTTGATGCAATACTAACACTGAAACTGTTTTCAAACCCAGCTTCGCCCACCAGAAAGACACATCATAAACAAGTTTCACTGGGAAAGCAGATCATTTAGCAACACTGAGAGTGACACATTTTTAATACACTTGCGCTACATTCACACTGAAAGCCTTAGAGCTCAACTTTTTTGTTTGGCTGTTAACATTATTTGTTAGATTCCAGAAGTCCCGGCCCTGAAGTGACCTGCACGATGAGCGTAAATCTGGATGACAACAGACTTATATCTGATGTGGCTGTTCCTGCTTATGAAAGCAACTTCAGCTTCACATATGAGCTAAAAAATCTAATTTGGGTCACTTGTATTTACAGTGTGAACGTAGCTGAAGTGAGGGTTTGCACACATAGTACACACATAGTCATTGGGCCTTAGCAGAGCCATTCATAACAAACTGTAAGTGCAAAAATAATCCTTAAAAACAGTCTAACAATCCAACCAAGAAGGACTATGTTGCTACCAAATGAAGCAACAATCTGATTCAGCAAGAAAATTATTATATATACATATTTTGTCAATGTCACCTACCGAACAACATGAAATTGAGCCAAAACAACCAATAATCATTAAGACATTCAAAAACAAACATTTCTACTATCAGTCTGCTTTATCTGAACTAAAGTTCTGCGATGTAAAATGTATAGCTTTATATTTAGGAATCAGCAGTTCTTCTTAGTAACTGTTACACAATAGATGTGAATTATGTGACTGTAGCATGACTGCATATATATCAGCTGAGTGCCTTGTGTAGGTTCACATAGTGGCATTGGTTTTTGAAAACCACGGTGAAGGCCTTTTGCGTAAACATCTTGCTTTTCCCAAGAAATGTCAGTTCCTCAAATATTGTTTGACTATCCTTTTTCCAGTGTACAGTTGCTATAAACTTTATGACTTACTGGCACATACTGTGTGTGTGCGTGTGTGTTTGCGTACATACATTTTCATATCATTTTCATTTTAAGCTTTTACCTTTGCGTATTTGAACAGTTAACAGCAGGAGCAGTGTCAGATATTGCCACAGGAACATGTTTGTTTACACCAGCTCGAGCCAATAATCTGTAGACAGAGTTATTACAGTCAGACTAATAAATAAAAATACATCAGTCATTATTTGTCTCATAGCAAATCACACGTACACAAACACAACAGTACGGCAACAGAAGGAGAACACTGTCCCAACCATTCAGATGTTTCTCTGACAAGAAGAGCGAAGAAAAGAGGTCAGTTACTCATCTACTTACCTTCCAATGTAATGAAACTGCTCATCTTAATAATTAACATTGTTGGTGCCATTTAGGTAACTTGCAGACTGAAAATCTGTGTCTGGCTCCACCCACTGTTATTAATCTTAACCAATGACACTGTTTATAAGTGAAACTGAAATATGCAGAAACAGGTCTTTAAGTTTTTACAGTTAGACGCCAAAAGTCTGCTAGTTGTTCAATGTCTTACTTTTGTTTAACTTCACAAATCTGACAACATTGAGAGAGTATAACATGTCTTCATTAATATCAGAGTCTTACCGTTGCTGTCGGATATTATTTCCTGGTCCGGTCTGTCAAAGGTCCAGTATACTACAGGTTGTCCTGCGTTTGTAACTCCACATATTTGGGCAGTGTTCAGGAAGTGAGAGGAGGAACAGCAAAGCAATACTCCCGCCCTGCATGCTCTCACAAGGATAACCACACCCCTTGCTCCAGGTCATTGTGTTCACAGGTGAAACATTCCTGTATAGTCACTCCTGGTCCCTGAACCGGTTGTGTGGCTGTTTGTTGTGTTTCTATTGAACTTATATCTGCAAAAACAACTCTCTTAACACAAACAGTCTCTGTTTTGTTGAGTCCATTCTTATGTATGTGCAAGAAATAGGAGTGAAAGTGAAACATGGTATGGGAATTTCCAAAAGGTTTACAGAAATGAATACTACAACCCAAAATTAGAAATTAGTCAGGCTCTACTTCCCTGGATTTAGGAAAAACTCCACTGACAATTGTGAGAAGTTGCACAACAATCTTTAAAGACATTTTAAAGACAACATTTCCCTACATTACACTGCAAACTGATCTGCATATAGTATAATGTTTATAGCCTGTTTGGAGAACATTTCAAAGGTTTGGGAGAAGTCGTAGCATTCTTTCCACCTCTCATTATTTTTTATTTATGTTGAGTTTTTAAGTACTTTAAGAGAGGTCTATGTATGAGCTTTTAACTCGCTACCTCTCCTGCACAAGCTTTTGTTTACTTTAAATTCATGTATATCTGAGTATATGAAGGTGGCGTCTGTGTATCTTCTGTGTATTTTTGTATACACGTCATATGTTCTACAGTAATTGTATTTTTTATGTGCAAATAGATACATATAAATAGAATTAAGGTGGGAGTTGATGGTGTCATTTGTGGTCCTTTGAGTCATTCCTTTATTTTTCTCTCAATGACAACCAGCTGTCTCAAACCGGAAAGGGACTCAATGTGCCTTTCTTCTTGAAAATATAAAAAAGATAAGGATAACAGAAATAAACTTCAACCTTCACTGTTTATCTTTGCAAATGTGCATCGCTGATCACACATCCTATTGTATTTCTCTCAGGATATAGATAAAAAACATACAACGATGACATTTAGCAAAAGCTTGACCTTATATTACCATAAGCATTATAAAAATATGTATGATAGTGTATCCGTAATATTAACTTTGAACATACAAATACATCCACAATTATAACACGGCAAGTTTATAGCAATGCCACTGTTTCTAAGGGACTGTATACACAAATTATTACATGGGGCATTAAAGTGGGAGGATTGTGTACTGTTTCAGTAGTCAGGAGTGGTCTGGCTTTTATGTGCGAGCCGAGGAAGGTCTTTGAATGTTTTCTTATTCAGGATTGATATCTTATTTCAGCCTTACCTTGTGAGATTTTTTGTATAAAAATAGTATAAGTATGGTCAGGCAGCTAGTTCACTCATTTGGTGGCTCTAAAAAACGTTTCTGTAGGAGCTCAAAATAATCACATATATCAATGTTAGCACATTAATAGTAAATTCCTTTATTGCATACAGCATAAAGTGTATATCTTTTATTATAATTTTATATTCTCTATTATATTTTTATTTTATTATTATTTATTGTATTTTTCCACTGTTCCACTTACATAAACTTGAATTTCTCCCACAGGGATCAATAATGGAAATTCTTATCTTATCTTAAGTCATTGAATACAAATGTCAATAGGTGGCTGTTTTATTTCCAAATTTTCTGAAATGTCTTTTTTCTTTCAACTTAGGCCTATAATTTAGACTAAAATGTGGTCATAACAGATCATGAAATCATAGGCCTATGTGATGGTTGTTATTTGTAAAAAATAATTTAAACTTATGTGTTAAATTTGGTGTCAAGGCATTTTTTTAGGGACGGCAGCTGCCACCCACTCTAGATCAGTCCCTTTAACCTTTAGGCCACCACCTTTACTTTAATGTAAACAACCTGTATGGTAAAGAAGCAGCTGGTGTCAAAAACTAAATGTACCATAACAAGCAGACAGCATTGATTTCAAGATGTACCCAAACTAAATTACATAATATCCAGCATAGTAACACTGTGGGCGACTTGTAACAGCTTTGTGAAATGTTGGAACATGTCGTCCTTCTGTGTTTGGTTCCAAAGGCTGCCAATGTAAAGGCTCTGGGCACATTCTTACTTCATATGTTATTTAGCTTCCCTCAGCATAAAATGTGACACTATTAGCAGCCTCTATTCTCGTGAGAAGTGTTTCAAATACATGAGCATTTTTCACAATCACTGCAATCTGGACTGTTACACATAGTGTTAGAGTTTACTAATAGTGTTAAATTGCATACACCACTCTATTGCTACAGTCTACATGAAGAAAGAGAGATGACAAGTGCAATCTGAATACGTTTACCAGGCTGGCTTGAACTTTGCTCACTACATTCTTCCGTCATCAGGGTCAGGCAGGCCGATGGGATGTATACTTAAAAACACACGCAGGCTGAGAAATCCCCCCTGTTCAATAGTTAGTCAGGCTGAGAGGACCGGCAGGCGGGCGCAGCGGGGCAGTTAATAGAGAAGGAAGCAGAACATCCAGAATGGCTGGAAGGAGACGAGGCAGAGGCAGCAACGTTCAGCAACAACAGGCCTCACAGAGCCAAAGAGGAGGCCCTCGCAGGGTAAGTCCTGCTCTGTCAATATGAAACGTGGACACTGTGTTTATTCTTACACTTCAAATAATAGTCATGTGAGAACTCAGAGTCCCATGAAGTAGATTCTGATTGTCTTAAACATTTGTTTTTTGGACATTTGGTACAAGTGGTATTAGTCGGACTTATATTTTGTTTTCATGTGTCAGGCTTTGAATATTATATAATTATAATATACAGAAGTAAACCTTTCCTCTGTGGTTATTTGACTTGTGCCTGGGAGTGGAGAGTTTACTGATAAGCTGGGTGGGACAAGGAATACGCGATTATTCTCAAGTGATACACTTGTTTGGTATCATAGATTGAGTCAATATTTAACATGAAGTCATTCTGTTGTTATCAGTTTTTATTGCTGTAAATGTATCAAATAATTTAATAATAGGATTTAAGTGCATGGTGGTGGATATTTATTTCTAATATTTGTGTTGCGAATGTGGAGACATACGCAGGTCTGCATGTATGCTGACTTCATGGCTAACTATAGCTATAAGTATAACTATAGGACTAAACTATATACGTAGCATGGAAGCAGGCTAAAAGTATTAGCATTCGCAAAGTACTGATCATTTCAAAATAAAATTCAATCAGGTAAACTGAACAATTGTATAGTTTAATATAGCACACCAGACATTTGATCAGTATCAGAGTTCAAAGTATATCTTACAACACAGCAGATAAAGCTGTGTATATGCATCTACACACAACACAAAGTCCATGACATAACGAGACTCATTACCTCTGAGTGCTGAGATTATTTGCATCTGTCTTGAACATATCAAGCTTATCTGGCTTTGATAATATCTTTTTTTTAACCATGTCAGATCTATGGCGGAGTTCCAACCTACAAATTTACAACCCCTTATATATGATTAAAATAAACCTATAACAGCACTGTTAATATTGCAGTGTTTGAATTCTCAGCTCTGCAATACTGTTGCTGCATATAATTGTCTTCCTGCTCTGTTTGTTTTCCTTCCTGAACAGGATAAACAGTCAGATAAGATGAATTAACTGAGTTTATCAAACTGTTCTCTCTGTGTTGTCTCTGTATTCAGGCGCTGAGGGAGCCAGCTGCCTTTGCCAAGTCTACAGGTTATGAATCAGAGATCCCCCATGAAAAGCTGACCATTGCCCAGGCACGGAGGGGCACACCAGGTTACATTTTCTCAATAGTGTTTTGTTTCCATTGCTAATTGTCATGCAACTGAGAATGTCAGATCTTGTCAGTCCCTGCTTGTAGCAGCAATGAATAAGAGAAGACTACATACATTGGTATCAGCTGATATCAGCTATAAATCAGAACAATATTGTTTTACTGCTGGTTATTTGGATAATTAGGGGTGGTATTATTTATGATGTTTTTCTCCAGGAATGTGTCACGCCATTCTATTAAAGAAACAGACAGTATGAAGGTCTTTAAAAGCTGATTAGATGTTGCCATCAGCTTCACAACATAGTAAATCTCAAAACAAAGAAATTGATATTTTGAAATGTAATGTTGGTTTTTGAAGAAATACTTCTTATCTTGCAGCTCATCGTCCGGTGCGAGTCTACGCTGATGGGATCTTTGATCTTTTCCATTCGGGGCACGCTCGAGCTTTGATGCAGGCCAAAAATGTGTTCCCCAACACATACCTGATAGTAGGAGGTAAAGAATGGATCCTTGTATCAAAGAGAAATGACCTGCAGTAAAAACACACTGGAAAAGTGTGTAAATGAAATGGGGCTTCATTAGCTGAGCGTGAAGCCCAATCTCAGGGGGATAAATCTTTCAGTTTAGCAAGGCTTAGACATATAACGGTTCTTCTCTTTCTCTGTGTCCCCAGTCTGCAGTGACGAACTCACCCACAAGCTTAAGGGCTACACGGTGATGACAGAGGATGAACGCTACGACGCACTGACGCACTGCCGTTACGTCGACGAGGTGGTGCGGGACGCTCCCTGGACCCTTACCACAGAGTTCCTTAAGAAACATAAGGTCAAAGGTCACGCAGGCACTGGACACACAGCTTCTTACAATGTCATACAGTGACAACAGCAAAGATATCTGGTGTTCAACCAGTCTGAACACTGTAATGTTACACTCACAGATTGACTTTGTGGCCCATGATGATATCCCTTACACCTCTGCTGGATCAGAGGATGTTTATAAACACATCAAGGAAGCAGGTGAGGATATGAATGTTCATATAAGTTCTCATCATAACGAATTCTATGTATTTAATCACTTGAGTTAATCATTTATGTTTTAATGTCAGGTATGTTTGTGGCCACTCAGAGGACGGAGGGCATCTCCACATCTGATCTGATCACTCGTATCGTCCGAGACTATGACATCTATGTTCGACGCAACCTGCAGAGAGGCTACACAGCCCGAGAACTGAATGTCGGATTCATTAATGTTAGTGAAACTATAGTTTATTGATTTAAAAAACAGAATATTCGATGTTTTTGAAATAAACAATACAGAAATAAAAGGACAAATGTGCTGATGGTCACTTGCTTTGTCTTTTTCTGACAGGATAAGAAATACCGGCTCCAGAACCAGGTGGACAAGATGAAAGAGACGGTCCGTACGGTGGAGGAGAAGTCCAAACACTTTGTCTACAGAGTGGAAGAGAAGAGCCAAGACCTCATCCACAAGTGGGAGGAAAAGTCACGGGAATTTATTAGCAACTTCCTGGAGCTTTTTGGACCTGATGGAGCCTGGGCACGTTTACTTTTACATTAATCCAAAAACACATTAACTGAAGGAAAAAAACCTATAAGAGCTATAGAACCTTCTATTATAGGTTGAGTTTGTTATTTGGTTGTGTTCCTATGTTATTTTGATAGAAAAATATATAGAAGTGATGTAATTTGGTTTCCAGGCAACCAGTGGAGACTCCATTAAGTCACTGAACCTAGGCAAAAAAAAGTCTCACACATAACCTCCTTCTCATTTTTACACTTTGTACCCCTGATTACCCCGGATTAAAGAAACCAGATATAATGTGTTAATTTGTAAGCTTTAGAGGTGATGGTCGGATGATCTTGTTAACTCCTGATAGAGCAAGGTTAAGATCCTCACTCTGGCTTCAGATTGTATTGACAGATATGAAAATGGTATCAAAAGAAAGCGGAAGGAAAGCAAATTTCCATGCTTCAGTGGTAAACATCAGGTTTTATCATATCTTTATTAGAATCAAAGAGCAAGTGTAGACTTGCTAAGTTGCACATTTAACAAGTATAAAGAGCTGTTTCCACTGTAGAGGAGGCAGAGACACCTTAACTGTACATCCACCAACAGTAGCCTCAATGGAGCATGAGGACGTGGCTTTTTCAATCTAAGACACAACGCTTGTTTGCTAAAAAGTGTTTTTAAAAGTGTTTTATTTATTTTGCACTCATATAAAAGCATAAAAAGCCAGGAAGCTGCATTATGCTTACCAGTTGCAGTCCATGGTATAGCCACTGTGTGGGGCAAGAAGGATAGTGGTATCTATGAGGGTATCTCATAGTGGATACTTATCCATAAATATACTTAAAAATCATAAGAAAAAAGAAGCTTCTTATAAGATAAAAGCTCTTGCCTCATAATTAGCATGTTTAGATATTTTCTTCAATATCAAGTCTTTCTAAATCTGTAGATTTGGAAGAACAACAATTAATATGATCTTTAACTCACAACTAAACAACACAATTTTGAGTCATTCTGTGGGCAATGATAAAAGGCACTCTGGGTGATATGGGAAATAACTGATGAACAGAACACACACAGAACAATTCATCACAAAAAAATCCATTGAACCTTTGCCAAGCTCAACATTACAACACAGTAACACTCTGCTCTGTCTCTGTCCTTGTCCAGCATGCCATCCAGGAGCGCAGTGGCCGTATTCTCCAGGCCCTGTCACCTTACTCTTCACCCCGGGGCTCTCCCAGCAGCAGTCCCACCAGAAGACGCTCGGTTTCTCCTGACTCCTCCCCTGCCTCCGCCTCCCCATCCCCGTCCCCCTCCTCTCTCTCCCCTCCATCCTCCCCCTCCTCACCCAAAAAAGGGACACGCTCCTCTCTCAAATCCTCTTCCACATACAGCAGTCAATGAGCTCATCATGTTTTCTTTATTGGTCTTCTTACAGGGTATCAGTCATTAATCTGATACATAATAAGTACAAGGAGGCTATTAATTAAAACTAATAAATAAAAAGGGAGTAGGCTACTTTATTAGTAGTTTATTCAAGTGCAAGTGCAATATCTCATAATGTGCATAAGGTTTATCTGCTGAAAAGAAAAAGAAAAGATTATTAAAATTTTGCTTGGATGTGATTTGTCTCTTGTCATTTGTTACTCTTCCATATGTCTAGAAGTGAAATACATATAGTATGCCCATCCTAAAAGAGCCTTCATAGGAATTGGTGGTTGCACTGGCTGAGGCCTTGCTGCAGTGGCCAAGTCCGATCTGTGGTCCTTTTGCTGCATGTTGTCCTCTCGCTGTCCTATTAAATAAAGGCAAAGAGCCCCAAAAACAATATATATATTTAAAAAAAAGAGACTAAAACAGAGCTAAATTGAGTGTGTATTTAGCTTACACTAATTAGGTGGCTAGAAACATTTAGTTTATAATATATATAATATTTTTCTGAAATGTGTCTAGCATCTTAAAACAAACACTGTTTAACAAGATTCCACATTAATGCTAATGTTATTCGCTTTGTGATATTATGTCAGATGCTATGAGTTTTTACCTTGTTGTGAAGTTCCTCTGCCCCCAAGTGGCAAAAATAATAAACTTTAAACTGAACTGTTTGGCATTGGATACTTTAAATCCAGAGATAACAAAGGTACTCACATTCTTTACTCAAGTAGAAGTACAGATGCTTGTGTAAAAAAAAGACTCTTGTAATACTGATTCAACTTCAAGTAAAAGGGTAAAGTACAGGCTCTGAAATGTACTCAACATATAAAAGTAAAAAGTACTCTCTTGGTTTTCCATCAACTGTTTCTGTGCACTTTAGATAGGGTCGAGTCTCCCTCTGGTTTGTGGTCTTGTTAGGCTATGTTGTAATGTCTTTTACGTCATGTTAGGTCTGTCATGTGAGATCTGAAGATGTGCAATAATGCAAAAACAAGCCTCAACAAGTACAAGTAGAAAATATTTGTGTAAAAATGTGAAAAAGTTGTCAGAAAAATAAATACTCAAGTATAGGACAGACACCTGAAAAAGACTACTTAAGTACTGTAACAAAGTATTTGTACATTAGTCACATTTTAAAATGATTTGTAAGGGTTATGAATAAATAGCCTGTGATTTAAAGAGTTTCCACAGCCAAACAAAGACGGTGAGATGCCAGATGTCTGACTTGAGTATGATAACTTAGTTGATGTAGCAGCAGGGCCATTGATCTACCTGTCTGCCACAGTGTTATTGTCTGACCGCTCTGCAGTCACACAGCAGACTGTGATAAAATATAACACAACAATCACTTAACATTATATCCAAAAACACACGCGGGACCTCGACAACTACAGACATATCTGCGCATGTCCCCGTTAACTCTCCCGGTGTCTTGTCCTCTTTGGTCGCGTAATAAAAAAAAAACCGAGGCTATGACGTCACCTCAGCCAGCGTCCTACACGGATTAAAGATGGCGCCCTCTCATGCGCTGAGGTGCTGTAAGCGGGCTCTGAACTGGGTACCTGTCCTCTTTATAAACCTGGTTGTTGGTTGGTCTTACTACGCGTACGTGGTGGAGCTCTGTGTCTGTAAGTACACCCACTTTTACTGAGTATGAACCGGTTTGTGGGGGGTGGGCGGATAGCGGCTTGTGTTG